CTGGCATGGAACAAGGAGACCTAACTTGAGCTATTTTCCTTGATTTTGCAAAGGCCTTTGACACAATAGACCATGACATTCTACTGCACAAACTAAAAAACTCAGGTATTGGTGATCGTCCGCTAACCTGGTTTCGATCATATGTATCGGATCGCTCACAATATGTGTCCATTTCTGACTGCGACTCCCTCCCTCTCCCAGTCACATGTGGTGTTCCCCAAGGTTACATTCTCGGACCCCCTACTATTCACATTATTTATAAATGATCTGCCTAATGTCTGCAAATCCTCAAATGTACACATGTACACAGACCACACAGTAATCTATGCGAGCAAATCCGATCTACCGCAGCTTGAGGCTGTGCTCCAAGCAAAAACAAACTCTTCCTAAATACTGACAAAACTGTCACAAAAATCTTTGGAACAGTACCTAAATTACACAAATTACACGATTCCCACCTATCCATCAAAACAAAATCAAATAGCAGACTGACAGCAGTCCACTCTTTTAAATACCTGGGTATGTTGTTAGACCCCAATCTATCTTTTGTCCTCCACATAGAAAAACTTGCATCTAAACTTTATCCAAAACTAGGTGCCCTGTACAGAAACAAATCCTGCCTAAGCCCCACAGTAAAGGAAAAGATTGTACAACAAATGCCAATCATTGATTATGGGGATGTAGTATATGTACCTGCACCGCAAACCCACTTTAATAAACTCAATACATTGTATAACTCGGGAGCAAGGAACACAACGTTCCAAGTCCCTGTATAGCCGCCGCACCCACCACCTCAAAACCTCCCCAAAAGGGGGGCAGTGGCTGCAGGGGTCACGCAGAGACCAACGTACCAATATGAGACTCCAGCTGTCTCAGAGGGGCTTAACCCCAAATATAAACACAAGAACAAAGAAATATGCAGACCGTCTCAATTATATGAATGAAACTTACTGCATTGACTGGAAAAAATATATCTATGTATAGCGCGATGTTCCAAATATAGAACCTGGCTATTAGAAATAATATGGTAAGAGACCCTAATTAAACAAAGTATATACAAGTGAACCTACAATCCTATGCCAGCCCAGGGTAGTATAGATCAAGAGGTAGTAAAAAAGATAACCTCACTCCCCCTTATAATTAAGCTTTATTGTGATCTGCTATAGGGATAGGAGTATATAGTAGCTAAGTCTCTATAATCCATGCATCCTAGGAAGTATCCTGGTCACACTAGAAACATATTAAGAAAAACAGAGAGAGATAAGGACTGAAAATAGAAGTAAAAAAATCAGTCAAAACAGACTGATAATTAGCATTAATAAAGCCTCTCTCCCTGTAAAGCTAGCTAGATAGGCATAGGAAAGAAAAGAAGAAAACGATATAAAATAAAGTTAAATTAAATGGTGATCATGGTGCTCCAAACACCAGTGCCCAGTGCAGAAAAAACGCCCATATACTTTGTTCAATTAGGGTCTCTGACCATATTATTTCTAATAGCCAGGTTCTATATTTGGAACATCGCGCTATACATAGATATATTTTTTCCAGTCAATGCAGTAAGTTTCATTCATATAATTGAGACGGTCTGCATATTTCTTTGTTCTTGTGACATTGTATAACTCGTTCTGCCGCTTTGTGCTACAATGTAATTACATGACCCACCATTGTGACATGGCTGTGGCTGGAATCCAGATGCACCCTTCATCTTTCCAGCCTTGTGTTTAAGAGCTTTTCTGGGAAGTTCCCACCCTACATGAGCAGAAAGCTCTCCCCAGCTGTTCCCACCTCCTATAACCTCCGATCCAGTACCAGTACTTTATTTAGTCATCCTCAATACAAAAGAAAGCAGCTCGACCCTCCTTTTCCTACAGAGCACCGCAATTATGGAATGACCTCCCGCAAACTTTCAAATCTTTCCCAGGCCTAAAATCCTTAAAGAGATCCCTCTCTACATATCTCAAAACAGAATGCACCTGTCATCGTTGATTATAGATTTCCTACCTGTTCTATGTTAAATTTTGTATATGTTGTGTATTAATATTGTTTTTCTTTTTTATTGTACCTTTTGTATTAATGCAATATTTTGTGGACCCAGGACATACTTGAAAACAAGAGAAATCTCAATGTATGTTTCCTGGTAAAATATTTTATATATAAATAAATAAATAAATCTTGGAGACTTGATTTTGAGTTGATTGTAAAACCTATAAGAGTCATTTTGAGTACGTTCATCTGCCCAGTCATCTGATTTATGGGTCTTTCCATCTGTGAAGGCCAGCTCCTATTGTGTGGAGTAATTTACGGTATAGAGCAGGGGAAGAGTACCTTCAGCACTCCAGATGTTTTGAACTACATCTCACATAATGCTCTTACACCCATAATGCTGCCAAAACATCAGGGGAGTTGTAGTCCACAACATTTTGAGTACTGAAGGTTGACTAACCTTTGTCGAGCGGTAGGAGAGATCTGAGCTGATATATATCTCCAGATATTTTAGCTTGTTATTTTAAAGTTCATCCTTTGTAATTTTTATTTGACAAAGTATACACACACACACACACACACAAAACCACAAAACACACATCTTCCTCCTGCAATATAGTCAAATGCCATTTCAGGGTTTATTTTCAACTGGATTATCTAGTGACACTTTGAATTTAGTTTCCTGGTAGTTCGACTGCTATTTTCCATAGCTTAAAACGGTTCTACATTGATTGAAGCTGACCCAAGTATAATGAATAGGTAACTGGCGGCTGATAAAAGATACGTGTAATCCTAATATTATAATAGCTGATGCTGAATAACAGGGTATAGAAGCTAAAAATGTAACAAAGAGCCTTAGATTGGAGAATTTATCCTCTGAATGAACAATGATATAGTATTTCAGTAAAAGTATCTCATTTCTTAAGTAACATCAAAGACGTCATGACATGGTGCTGTCAGTACTAATTCCCCTACAAAGGATTTAATGGGAATATGGAGCACAAAGAAGCAATTCAATAAAAAATAAAAATCTCTCTCTATATTTTTTTTCCATAAAGATTAGGGTCAACTGAATGAAATTGTTTCTTTTTTTTCTATTAGAATTTGTTGAGGTTTATTCACTAAACACCAACTCATAGTGAATTGAAAAACAAATTGCAAATTTTAGGCAATGTTTCATAGAAGAGATGATACTATGAGGGAGATTTATCGAGGTATAACTGATTTTATTTTGGGTAGGAAAAAAAGTTCCAAATGTTCATAGACATTCTATTGGGTTCGATGATGATTGCTTCTTACTGAATGTTGCCCCAGAATACCACCTGTACATTAAGAAGATTATCAAATTATTTCTTAACAGGCAAAAAAGTTGAATTTTTGATTAGTTATATTCAATGACAAATATAGCAAATACCAGTTTTCATATTCAATGTTAACATGTAATCTAGGGCATGCATCACGCAAACAGTGTGAGACTTATCAGGTAATATGTGGGACCTCTGCATTGTGCGCAATCCAAAGTAGGTGTTCCATAATGCTTGCTCCATAGGTTGTGGTTAGAGGAGGTCCCCTGTCACTGTGTTCCCTGAAGAAAAAAAAGCTGATGAAAAAGAAAAATGTGATCTTTCCCTTCCCATTATGAAGAAATTACCAGAGAAATACATGTGTTCTAGGCTTATCCCGTTCATCTGAATACTACAACGTGAAGTAATATTAAATTACTTAATTTGGGTTCTGTGTGGGAACCTCGGAATCTTTCAGTGCATCTCATGAACAGAATTTTATAGCTGACCTTGGTAGACCATGCATTTACACTTTCTGAATATTGGTAGTTCCATTTTAATAGGTTGGGCACGAGAATGAGGTAGACAGCATCACCCTTTGGGGATGGTAAGTGCAATACCAATCCTGAATGTGTAAACACCCCGAGGAAGAAACTCACATATTTCTGGGTGCCTATCAGAGCAGTAGAAATTGGTAATCCGCCTCCGGCACCTTCTTCTGTGCGGCATTATGGAGGATGGAGATTCTGTTTATAACTTTGTTAATTTCATTGAGAACGGCAGCAAGGACAAGGATCTGGAGGTCATATCTTAGCAGCCATGGCCTATTTAATTTTGCAGGTGCTCATATGGTAAGAGCAAGAGGCTAAACAGTGCACTGCATTCCTGATGTACCAGAACGTGACATCATGTAGTCAAAGTAACAGTGTTCCTCTCTCTCTATATATATACAATGTTTGTAACTTTCTTCAGTAATGTTTCTCTTTGTATGTCTGATGTGTGTGTGCATGTACACGTGATAGTGTGTGTTATGTGTGAGTTTGTGTCAACATCTGTACATGAGTGTGCCTTTGTGTGTATGTCAATGTGTGTCTCTGAATGTGTGCGTCTATAGAGGTGTGCAAGCATGTGTCTTGTAGCTGTAGTGTGTGTTTGTGGACTTGTGTTAGTGTTTTTGTGTGATCTGTGTGTGTAGCTTTGTTGGCTATTGTGCGTTTATGAATGTTAAGTAGGTCTTTTCTATGGATGTGTATTAGAGTGTGTATATGTACTATTCATTGACAACATTTACATGCTGGTGTGTGGCTGTGTGGTAGTGTGTGCCTATATATATTTGTTTGAGTGTGTTGCTAATTAGGTTGGAGCGAGTCAAGTTATATAAGTGTGTGAGCTGCTAGTTATGTATGTGCAACTTATCATGTGGATAGGGCGGCACAAAATTGTCTTGCCCAGTGTACAAAGCAGCTAAAATATCAAGAAACACACAAAGCTAATATACTAATATACAATTCTTTCAAAGCTCACATCATTATTCATTCAGGTAAAAACACAGATATACATATTTTATTTTTGTAATCATTTCTTCTGTTTTTAAAAAAAAAAAGTTATGCTCTCTCTAAGTACATTTTCTTCTCTAAACACTATCATTTTAAGAGTTAACCTAGTACCTTGTAATTTAAATCTGCTCAAAGGAGGCAGGCCACTTTTCAGTTTTCACAAAGGCAAAAAAAAGAAAAAAAAGGCAGTGCGGTTGCCTTCAGCAAATGAGGACAGGGTTTCCTTTTTTCAGGACCTTGTCTGAGTTCTGAAAGTGTTTGCATTGATTAGTAAGGCATTTCTTAATTGGCAGTAAGAGTGGAAGGTTCTTGGGTCTGCTCAGTCAAAGAATAATGAGCTGAGCTAGTCCTTTTAGATGTATCTGATCATCATTTTACAGCAGGCATTAGTAACTTTCCCGGAAAGCAGACAAGAAAACTCAAAGGATGTGCGTCGAACTATGATGAATAGTTTTATCTAACAAAAACATTTTTTTTTCGAGTTTCACCTATGTGAAAAAGTGACCATCACTTCAACGTATTATGACGGGGTTGGAAAAAACTTTCCTGGTGACCGACAAAGTAACCAAGATGTATTCGCTAACTATAGACAGGTACATTTTTCATTGTTTTTTTTTTTGAATGATTGTATTTGTTTAACAGAATGGAAGGCAGTATAGTAGCCAAGATCGGTGATGATACTCTCATTTAAACTATTTCTTAACATGAAAGTCAGATTCAGCTATATCTTTTGTAACCTGGATAAAAGCTAACATTTATTCAACAGCATTAAGTATTCACAAACAAATCCGATATTTTATATGTATATAAAATATTTCATACTGATATTCTCTTCAAGCAAGAAGTGAAGATATACAAACTGTGAACACAATTTTTTTTTCCTTTTAAATATTAATGTAAAGTAGCAAATTATGTCTCTATCTATATTTAGAATCATAAAATTATGGAATATGTCCCGAACAGATATATATTGAATTGTTGGAAACTGAAATCTGAGTTTGCAAAGTTAAGGCTATAATATCCGAGTTGGAAATATAGTTAGTGAGGGAGTTAGTTTTTTTTTAGTTTTTTTTTTTTAAAAGCTCATCTTCCTAAATTAATCAAAATCAGGTTTTCTTGATACCACTACAAAATTTTTTTAATTTTTTTATCCAAATCCAAGCCATTTTAAGTGAAATTGAAGTTATGTAGTTTAGCTACAGCTGTGTAGCAGAGTGGCGGGGACAAGAAGCAGATCTTAAGAGCTATATAAACCATGCACACACTCCCATCACTCCTAAACAACTGCTTTGATTGTCACATTGGCCTCGATGTAACACCAAACCAAAATAGATCCCTGCTCTCTATCCCAAACCTTAACGTACTCTTTTAAATCATATATTTAGATAATATGTTTTAGTATCATTTTATGAGATGTAAGCTCACCTGCCAATTTCAAGGCAAACCTCTAATATGAGTTCATTTTAACAGCTACCGAGACTGCTTCCAGCTCAGAGGGAAAGTCTCTAATGAGGCAGAAATTATTATTATTGTAACAAAACTGTGATCCAAATGCATGAACGCATAGTATCCCTGCGCTGAAACTCCCATCATTCATTTTGGGCGATTGCATTGGCTCTAATAGTTACCCTAAATATATATATATATATAAACAATAAAAGGAAATAGTTACCTTCATGCTATCCAAACACCAATGCATGGTTTTAAATAGTGTAGTTTAAGCTCACTTGTCAAAGTCAAGACAAATCTCTTTGTGAGTCTATCCTACTGTAGCAGTCACAATGGCTACAAGATCTCCACCGAGACAGAAATAGTTCATCTTATAAAACCCTGTACTCGAATTAACCCTAAATGGGGAGCACACAGGATGTAATTCAGAGGAACAGGGGTACAACAACATTGAAACTAGAAGCTGAAAAGAAAAGATGTAAAAGTATAGATCAATTAAATAAAACAATGCACGACAGGTTTGAATACCAAAGGGATTTTAATTTTCTTAGAATACAATTCAACCAGTTGGAATTTTGGAAATCCATTTGTTTCACATTAGACAGCTCAACTATGTTCTTTGATTTGTGACTTTCACATTAGCTTTTAAAATTTGTATTTTTGTTTTCCGAGTTATTCAATAAAGTTTAAATGACCATAAATTCAAATATAATACAACCTTGTAGGTCATTGATAGCTATTAAAAATATTTTGTAAAATGACTACATAATAATTCCAATTATATTTGTCAGAATTATTTAAAAGTGAGTGCAGGTACTACAGCAGCAATTTTATGAAGTCTATGTCCAAAATCGGATATTTGTTTCTAAATGATGTAGCTTTTTACCTATTTGTAATGTTTACTTTTTACCTTTCTCTGTGAACATGGAACAGTGGAAAGTAAATTGTTTGCCTCTTCCTTCAACCATCAATAACTGGTCTGTTTGCTTTTTATTTTATTTTCCAAAGCAAAATGATCAGATATCACATAATGAAATATTTTGAAACAAATTCTCAATTATATTTTAATATGGAGAAAGGATTTCCTGAAACCCATTAGCATCACATTTCAAAAACAAAAATAATGTAAATATTCCGGTATAGAGATGTATTGCATCTATTTACAAATTGCAAGAATTTGATTAGACTAACTGTAGAAAATATTTTTTGGCCAGTGTTTGAAGTTTTGCTTTAAAATTTGCATTCTGTTTTTTTTTTTGTTTGTTTGTTTTTAGTTTCCTGAACTATGTGCGGAGAAGGATTAGGACAGGGCTCTAGACTTACTGGTTACTGGTTTGGGGTAAACTTTCAAATAGGGATGGTGAATGGATGGGGCCAACAAACACATGGTTCTGGGATCCCTGTCCAACCCCTAGGTACTAGCCAGGAGTCTAAGGTCATTTTGTGTTTAATTCTGCATTGGTAGACAGAGTTTTACTTTACTATTCTATACAGTTTAAATTTTCAGGAATGGGTCACCTATGTATTCATTTAATCTAGTTTGGCTTAAAATGTTACATTCACTTTGAATTCCTGACAATTCATTCTTGGTTAACTTATCTTTAAATGGACTTCAAAACAAAATATCTAACGACAGAAACTGCCAGTTCAAGCTTTAGAACTCCAAAAAATACCAGCTGGTAGATCATGCCAAGGGTGATGTTAACTAATAACTATAACCAAAATAGTTATTGTGATCGTTACCTTGTAAAGTCCCAGGCTTTCAATCTCATGTTAATTGGAAACTACAAAACCATTGAGATGCATCTTTTCAGATTCACTTTATTTACTTAGATCTGAAATTCGCACCACTAAATCACCACTAAATTGATGAAAGGGTTTACTATTGAAATTGTAGAAAGTGACAGTATGTAATAACAAAGAAAAATAGAAGAGTGGCAGTATCTAAAATAAAAATAGGTAGAATATGATGACGTAAAAGTTAAAGCAGCATTGTCACCATCTGGGTGCTTTGCCAAATTCGAAAAGACCCCGATGGTGGTGGTCAGGTGGCCAGAGGAACAGGAGCCACTGTCAATGCTGTATTCTTGTGCATGCGGCAAGAGTACAGCATTGAGGTTTATGGAAGATCCCGCAAGACCACTGGATCCACACACAGTGGACAGAGCCAATTCAATAGAGAGAGCAAATTCCCTGCAGCTGTCACTGGTAACGGCTGTCGGGATTGACACTAAAACTCTGCCTAGAGTCTTAGAAAGTCAGGCAGAGGAAATAAACAGAGACAAAGTAGTCCCTACTAATCCCTCGTGACTGGGTTGGTATTTCAGTGAAACACCAACATAGTCAATATTTCATAAAGATTCTATGGAAGCCTTATGCAGGAGGCATATAATTGAGGTAACAGCCTGCAATAGTGTAAACCAACCTGTTACCATATGACAAAGTTAGAGGAACCAGTTCTATTGACAATTTGTTTATCAGTTTATATATTTTGTATTCAGCCATTATGAAACTACTTCTAATGAAACTGACTAATAGATTATTTTTAGGCACTTTGTATCTCACCAAGTATATATACATTCTATTAAATGTGATTGCTATTTTTATTCATTTCACATTCTAAATAATAATTATTTTCACTCTGTGCATCAAGGCACACCTTCAGGAATGTCTTTCATGGGCACAGCATTTGTGAGAAATCATGCTGCTACACCAAAATATACTTCTGGATACAGGGCCGTCTTTATTATTGATTGGACACTGGGCAAAGCATTTGCTTGGGCCCACTGGATCCTGCCCCCCTCCTCCCTTGCATGCAATCACGCCATCCACCCCAATGGAGTGGTGGAACTAAAGTAAAGCAATAATTTTTTTTGGCCCCCCTATTGCAAGGGTGACAAAAAAGGCAGATCCAACTGCAACTCCAACAATGCATTGATAGCTGGGGATCTACCATTTACCCATGTTTGCAGGTTTGTATTTAGCACTGAGCAGTGTTTGTGTGTTTGAATGTAAGCATGTTTGTGTATGGAGTATGTTTGTGTAAATGTAGGGATGTGCTTGTATGTGGTGTTTGCATTTGAATGCAAACATGTATTTATGTGTCGTGTTGGTTTTTGAATGCAGGGGTGTGTTTATATATAATTTTGATGTTTAACGCAGGAGTGTGTTTGTATGTAGTGTTGAAGTTTTAATGCAGGGGTGTATTTGTGTGTTGTGTTCATGTGTGAATGCTGAGATGTATGCACTTATACATATACACACACACTGAAACACATGCAGATACACAGATATACACACTGACACACATGCAGTTATACAGACACATATACACACACTGACACACAGATAAAGTCACACAGACTGACACCCAGATACACAGCCTGACACACATGCAGAAACACAGAAATACACAATGACAACATACAGACACACAGATATATACACACACTGACACACTTGCAGATACATAGATATACACACAGACTATATACAGACAGATACTACACACACATATAAACACACTGACTCATACACACAGATACACAGACACATATAGTGACACACTGACACATACACACAGATACAAACACATATAGTGACAGACATGCTGACACACACAGATATACACTGACAAACATACTTATACAGACACATGCAGCAGACACATACTAACACACACAGACATACTGAAATACATGCTGACACATTCACCGACACACACGTACACTGACATACTGACACATACATACATACTGATACAGACATATGCACACACACACACACATACTGAAATACATACAGACACATACTCTGACAGCCATACCGACACACACATACAGATAAACATATTTAAACACATTCACAGACAAACTGACAGACATACTGACACACACAGACATAGACACTGACAGACATTCAAAGACACACACACACACACACACACACAAACTGACAGACAAACACAAAATGTACACTTTTAAGCCCATCCTCCAGTTTCTTACCTTGGAGAGTTGTGGCTGGTGGCTGAAGCTGTTGGGAGGTGGGGGTCTGTCTCTCCTGGCCTGTCCCCTCCTCTCTGCCTCCTCCGTCTCTCCCGCGCAGCTCTTCTCTTTGTGGGAGAAAGTGACTCACAGCTGTCACTTGCTCCCATATTTCCAAAAAGCAAGAAGGCCTGGTCGCGCCCTTAGTGCATGGGCCACCCGGTGGGCTTCCTTAGTGTGCAGGTCCCCGGCAGCACTGTTGGGCCTATGGAGGGGAAAAATAAATGGTTGAGGACAGTGGGGCCCACAGGGCTTCTGCTTCGGGCCCCCTGTTTGCCCCGCGTTAAAGACGGCCCTGTCTGGATATGTAAATGAGCAGAGAGAAGCATCATGGTCCAAATTCACCCAGCAATCTGCAGGCACCCATAGAAATGGGATTCTGTTTCAAACACAGCTTTTTAAACCAAAGTATATGTTGTGATATAAAACCAATGCTTTGGTTTATACGGCTGCATTTAAATGTTTCACAAACCTCATTGACCAGCATTGGTCAAATCTGACAGAAGGGATTTCCATGTCTTAAACAATACTGGGATTCTGGTGTTTCCATGGTACCAACAGAGAAATGATCCATGCTGGTGGTGCAAAAGACACCTGATGATGTAATTCATTGACTATTCCTTAAATGCAGGCTTCAATGGGATTTCTAATAATGTTTTTACTACCTATATCTTATAAATATGTGTTGGTGAGTTGTATAATAATGAAGTTAAAGGTGAGGGCCAGGTAAAACACTTTGATAGTACTATTAGATATACAAAGCCTGTATGATAGCAATTACCTACATCTGCAACATTGAAACCCAGTAGCATCTAAAATAAGGAGTAATATTTCTGTAAAGTAGTCAGTCTGGCAAAAGCTCAGAGCAACACTGGTGACAACACAAAATAGATAGGTCCTTTAATACTTTAAAAATTATATACCTGTTTTACATTATAACAACAATATACAATATTTGCAATATTATAACCAGTAAAATAAAAAAACAGGATTTGCAAGAAGCACTGTTTCAGTGTGTCCCAGTGTCTTGAGTGCAGTACAAGCGTGTCTATTGATGTGTTCACGCTATGTTTTTTGGGGACAGTTCCCTGGTATCGCCAAAGTCAGGATGGCGGGACAGGACGGGAAAGACGTGACTTTCCTGTCAAAATTTGAGAGGTTGGGAGGTGTGTGAAAGTGTTGTTGGGCTGGAAGCAAAATTTGATTGTTGAAAAATTCAAATAGTCCGTAATAATATATTCCTAGGACCAAACTCATATATACTAATTTATATATTTTTGATCAGAGGGCATTCTTCATCCTCTGTTTTCGATATTTACCCTGTAATCACCCTGCACACAAAGACATTTTATTAAACTTCGCTGAATTATTAGATGGATGCCAGCACTGCAGTGGTTACCTGGGTGTTAGGGGACATTATGGGAAATGTTGTGATTTTCTTTTTGTTAGAGGTGTTTATTACAATACCCTTTTTATTCAATTCTATATTAATTCGAAAATTAATCCCAAAATATTGCTGCAATATGAAACTGAAAAATTATTAATTTAAAGGGACAGTGTGATTCTAGATTCTAGTGTGATTCAAAGCTGTCAGGGTGATACTTTATATAGTATTGTATTTAAAAACAAGATGCATTTATGATTACATCATCAGTTTGCTAGAAAACAATATTCACACCTCTTTATCCTGCAACTGGTTGCTGCCATGTTAGTTCCCTGTCAATCATTGTTATACGCTCAGCCCTTTGTACCTGGCAATCAGTATAGAAAAAAACAAACAGTGAAAAATAGAAATGAAACTATGGGGGATATGTATTATTATTATTATTATTACTTATATAGTGGCAACAAATTCTGTAGCGCTGTACAAAGAATAGACTAACAGACATGTAATTATAACCAGACAAGTTGGAAGAACGGGAGCAGAGGGGTTGAGGCCCTGCTCAGTGAGTTTACATGCTAGAGGGAGTGAAGTATAGTGACACAAACGGTCAAAGTGGGGTAGAAAAGTGGGTTGCTAGAAAAGTATTCACTGAGGGCTTCGTTGGTTATTCTTGGAAGTTGCGGGAGAGGAATCAGGGTGCAGGAGGGAAAGCTAGTAACAGTTTAATTGACACGCTTTCCTAAAGAAGTAAGTTTCCAATGTTTTTTTCAAGGAGTGGAGATAGGGTAAATGTCTAACAGAGAGTGGAAGGAAGTTCCACAGGAACGGTGCAGCCCTAGAGAAATCTTTAAGGCGAGCATCAGTGGTGGGAGTATGAACAGAGCATAGACGTAGGTTTTCAGCAGAGCGTAGCGGCCTCGAAGGGACATACTTGTGTATTAGGGAAGATGTTCTGCTCTACAAAGTGGTGCAAAAATGTGAAAGGTAAGGAGTCACCAATGGAATACGACTGCTGGTCCCATTGGTTTCCGTGGCGATTGCCTCACGTTTTGCACTTTGATAAATAACCTATACTAGTTCTATTTCTTCTCCTTATTAGCATTAATTTTGCCCTGGCTTTGCCCTGTGTAAACTAGATTATGAGATTATGATATAAATTGACATATATAGATTTTCTTTAAGCTGGCATTCGAGAGCCTGGCAATTTTAAGTATAAAGGGTTGCTCCAACCACCGTGTTCACTTTTCCTTTTAGAAGTAGTCATGGTGGTAGGAATGGTTTTTAATGCCCTCTCTCCTTTGCCCACCCCCACTTTCACACTCCATACCATTCCTCCCTACCATCCTCAGCGTGCCTGCACTCTGAGAAATGGAGAACGGTCCAATCAAATGATGATCAAATCTATGATCTGCGAGGGAGGTCGGGATGTCAGATGGAGCTTGGAATCCAGCATGTGATTCTAGCTTCATCTTTGGAGTAACCCTTTATGCATTGCTAAAACCAATAGCCTGTGGATAGTTGGTGCCAATGGAGAGTCGCATTAGATAAATCAGTTTAGATGCCGTTCATTGGCTGAGAGCTCACAGGCTATGAATTCTAGCTTAAAATGGGTTTGTCCCCAAATGTATGTCACCAAATTTTAGCTCTATACCCTATTGAAACTATAACATGTTATTATACTTGGAAAAACATGCAGCATTTTGACATTGTAGGCAAAAATATCTAAGCTGGAATATTTCTCCAGGTGAGCAATGTGTCTGTTCAACTACTTTGGCGTAATCTTGAAATTCTGGGATGAATTTTCGACAATTCAGAGTTTAGCGAATAACCCTGATAATTTTATTTTTTTCCCCCCGTAAATGAAAGAAATCTATCTGATAGATTGCACGGCTCTCTCTTGTATATCTGTATTTATTACTGAGTGAGTCTGCAAGTCTCCAAAGTAATTGTACGTTTTAATTATTGAAGCTGATTGGCTTTTCATTGTTTTCTGATTGCGTTTAATATTTTATTCGCTAGAGTTAAATCAGAAGTTGGAAAGGTGCCCAGGTATAGCATTAACAAAGGACTCAGGCTTTTGTCTATTCCTAATTCAGTTACTAAGTACTGCTGAAAGTTATTAGAGTGCAAATAAATGGCTAATTAGTTCAGACAGGGCTGTTCAATAAAGACACATGTTAGAAAGCGGATGGAGTAATGTAAATAATTCTCTTTCATCGGAATAAAAGTTTGTGCATCCTTCAGCAAAGAATAGCTTTTCCTTGAAAATCATTTAAGAGGAATTGATTGCAAATAAATATATTAAATGCTATTAGGCTGATGTACTAGAATCTATTGTACAAAAACTTTATTTCTGGAAAATTTATGCCAAAATGCCATTTTGAAAATGGTACTTATTAGCTGATGTATCTCAGATGCTATGCCATGCCAGAAAAACCTCTCCATACAAATATAAACACATTTTACCGGGAAGCACAGAAAATGACAGTCCATGCTTGCATTGGGCTAATGTACTTACGCACAGAAACTGACACATTTTGACCTAGATCCTACACAAGCTCATGGCAGGAGTAAGAATTGGAAAGCCTTCCGAGATGTGGAATGTTTCATATCTATTTTCATGTCAAAAAATGTTTTAAACGTTTGAATGCATGTGTCAAAATGACATGTCAGCAGTAATTAACCCAATTAAAGGAACACTAAAGAGTTAGAAATATAAACATGTATTCCTGACCCTATAGTGTTAAAACATTATCTAGCCCCCACTTCCTTCCACCTAAATATAACAAAATCTTACCATTATTCGAGTCTTCTGGTACTGGCCCTGCCTCTGATCTGCCTCCTAGGCTAACATCATCAGAAGTGATGATCTCAGCCAATCACAATGCTTTTCCATAGGATGGAAGGATTTAAACGACGCCCTGGCCAATTAGCATCTCCTCATAGAGATGCATCGAATCAATGCATCTCTATGAGGAAAGTTCAGTGTCTCCATGCAGACGGTGGAGATACTCGATGGCAGTCACTGTGCAGCACTGCGCCAGGGAGCACCTCTAGCAGCCATCTGAGGAGTGGCCACTGGAGGTATCCCATAGGCTGTAATGTAAACACAGCCTTTTCTCTAAAAGTATTTACAGCAAAAATCTTGCAGGGACTGACTAAAGACACCAGAACAAATACATTAAGCTGACTGACAAAGAGGAAAAACATCTGTGTACCTAAATCGTAACAGCATCTAAATACAACATTATCAGCATGAATCCATTAGTAAACTATTAACAAATATGCATTATACCCAGATACCTTTTAATTAAAGGGACAATCTCAGCACCATAATCATTACAGCTTAAGGGATACTATAGTACTATAAATACAAAGATGTATTCCTTGCACTATAGTTCTCCTCCGACGTAATTCGTTGTGGGGGCTACTGTGCCACAAGTGCATTAGGCCCTACTCACAGGAAACCATTGACTCAATGATACTGGATTTCCTTATGCATAACGTGAGGACTGTCTTACCACTACAATGTAAACATCGCTGTTTCTCTAAACCTGCAATGATTTACATTGCAGGACTAAGTGTGACAGGGCACTGCACCCAGGCCATTTCAGTGAGCTGAAGTGGTCTGGGTGCCTATAGTGTCCCTGTAGTGGTGCAAAGAGCCTATCCCTCTCTAAGTACATCGCCATCTTTGGATGATCGACTTTCTGTGTCTTTATGTCAGCTCTATGAAAATGTCAAACTTTCTCCATATATGGGAGCCCCATATCTACATCTATCCAATGTCACAGGAAACAACCAATCTATTTTTTTTATGAAAACATTTAAATCTACCCCCATACATGTGGAGTAGAGCATTTTTGAACATATATTAATCGGTACACGGATCTCTTCTTTTAATAGATGCTTTACACTTCAAATCTACCCTATAGGACTCATGGCCATGAGTTATTTTTTTCCTGTAAAATATCCATCCATCACAGAGCTAAATCTAAATTTCACAGTACTTGTATTGTCACATATTACTGCTGATACATTTTGTTCTTGTCACTGTGGAATGAACAATAAAAAAAATAAATGGAAATAAATAAATATACGATAAAAGGGCAATTTCTCCTCCTCTGAAATACTTATTTGGAAATTTTACTAGAAGATCCAGATTTTTGTGATACCTATATTGACTTTTTTTTTTGTTGCCATTTTTAAAGTGACCTGTTAACATCTGTATTGGATGTCTTCGGTCCCAATTCATGAAATATTTGCATGTCAGACACATGCTTATTCCTACAGCATTTTAGTTTGATCGTGTGTATTTTCTAGATTTTTATTATTTTCCTTTTTTTTCTCAACATGTTTGTATCCAGTGGAGGACAGAATAATTTCTGTAAGGAGAAATTACAAGAAGAGGAAGAGATTCCCTGTGCGATCACCCTCTACCATTGCCATAACAACAATAGCAAAGCCCATGAAGCCAGACAGAAGGAACAAAAACTTGCCAAGAAAAAACTCTGTATTGCGTCTGTTATATGTCTCATCTTTATATTTGCAGAAATTGCAGGTACGTTGCCAAACATATGTCATTTATACCATATGTATATAGTTAGATACCGAGGTTCTAAACTGAAATATCAATTCAAATAAACAAAGCATGCGATCAGAGATTAATAGCCGAACTGGAACTATAGCTGCATTTAGGAATTACTCCAGATCGATTACAATGTTATCTATCTTAACGTTTGGATGTCAGTTTGCTAAAATGGTAAAAGACAATTTGATAACAATCTCAATGAATACCTAGAACAGCGGTTGGCTGTCTATGATATGCGTGGCACACGAGGCCTTTGCACGGCACACAAGGCTGCTAGTCCTAAATGGACCAGTTGGAAAAATTAGAGTATCTCCCTAGCCGGCCCAAGGTGCACTAGGTCCCAAAATGCAAGGGAGCCTGTGGTCTGCACCTCCAGTGGGTGCAGTCACCATAACCCAGAGCTCCGGAGTAATTGAAGCATTGACGCGGAGCACCATTGCAATGCTCAGACTCACTGGTAAAGCACCAAACTGGAGTAAGATGAATAATAGGTCTGCACCTATGAAAGACAACAGGTTCTACTACTAGACCACCATGGATTCATGAGTGTTCATGGCCCCCTCCCTGGAGTAATGTAGGCAGGAGGGAAGGGAGCAAAAATAAGTAAACAACAAATTTAATTCTGTAAGTAGCCCCCCACCCCCCATGCACACAACACCACTGCAAAGGTCCCCACATACAACATACAAACAGCTCACACATACACAACCCCAAAATATTCAACAACACAGGCAGCTCACATAAACACACACAACACCACTGACAACTCCTCTAATACATCCAAATACACAGTTAACATCATAGACAGCAAACCTTATAGACACAATACCTTAAATAACATGCATTCATAACACTACAAACAGGCCCTCACCAGACACATAAATACTGAAGGCAGCTCGAAGGGCTTATCTTATTGACTGAGAGTAATCAACTAGCAGCCAGTGCTGAAAGGTGTAGTTCTGGAGGGCTAACAGAAGCTCAGAAAGGCTCTCCTGGCTGCTGACAGGGCGAGGGGAGCAGCACTTGATTATAAAATGGTTTGTCTATTTACAAATGGGGGGGGGGAGCAATCCTGGCACCATAAACACTACAGAGCTCTGTAATGTTTATGGTTATAGTGTTCCTTTAATGTAAAATAATGATGCATTCTATTTTTATTTTAAATGTTTTGGTGGACTACGTTATACTTTAATTATATAACAAAAGCTAACAGGCAGGGCTTGTGCGATGATTACTTAGCAATCTACATCAGTTGATGAATAGTGAAGGTTTGTGATCTTATCTACTCAAACAGTGTTTGATTCGCTCAAAGAGGACAAGGTTAAATCTGATCCATGAAGGAGATGCTGGTTTCTTCTTTACGGGTGAAAATAATCCTATTGTATGATTTGCAGTTCTTTCAAAAACCCGCAATTGTGTTTCTATTGAATTGTGCGAGTAAGGAGTGGATTAAATGTTTAATGCTTACTATAGCCCATAAAGGGAAGTATCTACGCTGGCTTCCAAATCTATCAGAAATGAAAAGAGCCCTTTTGGATAATAAGAACAATCTAGATAGCTGAGTTCAAAGCTATAATCAATATAAAGTGTCCTTATGTTTATAGTGGAGAATAGGAGAATAACTGGCATGTTACTAATAGCCCAGGAAGTCCTACAATGAAACAGCTGTTAGTGCAAAGGAAAATCATATATTAGGCAAAATATAGGTGGATAATCACAGCATTTAAAACTATCGTATGAAATCACTGATTTAAGGTTCAATTACTTATAAAATGGTATATTATTTATATGAAAAAAGATTTCTGCTACAGTCGTGGACAATCCAACAAACAAGAAATTTATCTTACTGCAGAAGTGTATATTTATGTAGAATAGGTTGTAAAACAATGGCAGTGGATAGACAGACAGTGTTTCTGAAAATTCTTAAAGGAGCACTATAGGGTCAGGAATACAAATGTGTATTCCTGATCGTATAGCATTAAACTAACTATTTAGCCCCCCCTGGCACCTTTGCCACCCTTAAATAAATAGAAAACTTAATTTATTCCAGTGCCATGTGGATCCGCAGATGCTGGCCCTACCTCCGATCCACCTTCTTGGATGACATTATCAGAATTGACAATCTTAGCCAATCCAATGTTTTTCATATAGGAGGAACACTCCCCACTGGCCAATCAGCATCTCCTCTTAGAGATACATAAAATCAATGCATCTCTGTGGGGAATTTCCATGCAGAGTGTTGTGACGCTGAACGTCAGGGCTGCACGCTGTGCAGTACTGACCCTGGGAGCACCTCTACTGGCCGTCTGAGTGACGGCCATTGGAGGTGTCACTAGGCAACAATGTAAACACTGCCTTTTCTCAGAAAATATTGTTCAATATTCCAGCAGAGGAACTCGAGCTATCACAGACATTCCTCTCTGGAAAGGCCTAAAAGGAAACTTTTCATTTTTACTTACCCAAGTAATTCAATTAACATGCTCTATATAATCCACACTGTTCTCTATGAATTTCTTTGTACTGCGTGAATATAAATTGTAAATACAGGTTTACTAAATAAATTGCAAAGTATTGAAAACCACATTGGTAGGAGCTTATTTTATTTTACAATTAACTCTTGCAGTAAGCAAATTAAATTATGTATTCATAAATGTCATAATAATGCCAGTATAGTTAGAAAACAAGATGAATAATTTTGAGCAAAAGACACATACTTATGGGTTCTTCAAACACGCTTTTCCATCTTGTCACTAATATATTTAATTCACGTTTTTATTAACAGTTTTTCATTGTTCCGCTCTAATAGTTGCTATTAAAAATATTCTTTTTTATATATATATATATATATACTAATTTGAAAAAATTTAATTTTAGAAACAGCAGACCTGTATACATTATGGAGAACATTGTCCATGTCCACCAGAACCAAAAAGAAATATATACAATTATTTAGTGAAACAACAATTGGTTAAACATGTATATAAAATTACAATAAACAGGCAAACAAATGATCAACAGTAATAATTTACCAGAGTTCTGAAGGGCAGAAACACGAAAAAGTACCCCCAACGTTTCGGCACCAACTGGCTGCCTTTATCATAAACGTCCTTGATAAAGGCAGCCAGTTGGTGCCGAAACGTTGGGGGTTTATTTTCTCGTGTTTCTTCCCTATTAGGCTTGTGAGAACTCTGGTATTATTATTGTTGATCATTTGTTTGCCTGTTTATTGTCATTTTGTATTTTCTTGTAAGAAACATGGTTAACCAATTGTTGGTTCATTAAATAATTGTATCTATTTCTTTTTGGTTCTGGTGTTCATTCTCTTTCATATAATATTGATGTTTATGTTGGTACTAGACGGAGTACCAGTGAGGAATAGCACCCAGGTGGATATTGTCTCTGTTATTATATAGTCTCTCCATACCCTGTTTTTAGATAAAAAAAAACGTACACATTCCTTGTCATGCTTTGTCAGCTCTCCATTATATAGTTTAATGGATAAACAAGGTAACAAAATCATAGACATTTAGGAACTGGCAAATAGGCTTTTAAAGCAATAGCGATGTTTGTAACCTAGTGATTACCCACCGCCAGTCTTTGCTGGCCCTTTAAGTTCGCTTTCTAAGCGATATTTCAGTATGTTTCTGAGATTTCTTGATTTCGGTTTCAGGTGGTTATATAGCCGGAAGCCTTGCTGTAGTAACAGACGCAGCCCACCTTTTAGTGGATCTGTCTAGCTTTCTAATCAGCCTTTGTTCTCTCTGGCTATCGTCCAAGCCTGCCACAAGACGACTCACATTTGGGTGGTTCAGAGCAGGTAACATATTATGTTGTTTTTTTTTGTTTTTTTTATACATAACATAGAAATTTAATGTGAAAATAATAGGAGCTTGTAAGTAGTGTTGTGTCATTGTATTTGTCAAATATATCAATTTATTAAGTATCTCATCACATTTTTTGTTAATTTCTCTTTAAAATAACACCATGGTAGAGATACATTTAAGTTTGGTGCTGGGGAGGTACAGTGAGTTTAGGGCCTTCTTAGGGTAAGAGAGGACTTATGCTTGGAGGTCTGAGGTTTAAGGCAGGGGTAGGCAACCTTCAACATGCCAGATGTTGTGGACTACATCTCCCATAATCCTCTTACAGCTGGCAAAGCATCACAGGAGATGAAGACCACAACATCTGGAGTGGTGAAGGGTGGTTTAGGGTTTGCCAGCTTTCAGTAGCAGCTGGTACATTTCTGGCTAGTTGACCCTGAGTTCTCTCTCTCCCTCTGAGTCAATATGTACCTATCCATGGAAGCTAAAGATTAATATATTATTGTTTGGTTGATTGTTTACATTTTTGTTCTGTCTGTCTCTCCCTCTGTCCATTCATCCATCCGTCCATCCATCTGTCTGTACATCATCTCCTTGCTGTCTTTGAATATAGTGAAAGTAAATAACAACCTTTGTTTTAATTACTAGAAATGGTTGGTGCTTTGATGTCTATGATAACGATTTGGGTGGTAACCGGAGTATTATTATACTTGGCCTCTGAGAGAATACTACACCCAGACTACAAGATAGATGGAACAGTGATGCTCATAACCTCTGTGTGTGCCTTAGTGGCTAATTTAATGTAAGTCATATGTAAGCAGCTCCATAAATTCATAATATCCTTTTTCAACCTGCTCTCCATACTCTTGTTTCCTTCCCTTGTGTAATAGTTTATTAGCGCTGTGTGGAGTGTGTTCCCTGGGATTCCAGAATGGTATTTAACTTGAGTGGGGCGTTTTCCCTGGGATTCTTATCCCACTGCATTATGTCCCACTCAGGGCCAGATTAAGAGTCCAGTGGGCCTGGTGCTGATAATTATGATGGGCCTAATTACAAAATCTTATTGACCAAAAACACTAAAACAGTCCTACCTCCTATGTATCTTATGGAGGTGGTGCTGGAGGGAAACTCATAGGATGCCGCTATGAGAAAACACATACCCTATGCTAATCTCATGCTTTCATCTTTCAAGTAAACCCATAACCCCTAACAGCAGTGTCCAGTAAAGCAGGAAGCCTATGGATGGGGTAAAAGGGTGGGCCACTGACACAAATCACGTAACCAGAATAGCCGAAAGAAGCAAACATACACAAAAAGGGGGCATGTCTCTGTCCCCATGTATCCCAGTGTCCCCATGTCACTAGGACACTAGGGGACATTGAGAGACATTGGGACACTGGGAGACATGGGGACACTCAGATACTAGAGAACACTGGGAGACCTGGGGAAACTGAGACTCTTGGGGACACTAAGAGACATGGAGACACTAGGGACACTGGGAGACTTTGAGAGATGAGGGGACACTGGGAGACATTGGGCACTGAGACACTGTGATACATAGGGGACACTGTAGACTTGATAAAGACCTGGGTACAGGTCAAAGCGTTGTGGTGTCCAATAAACCTGCTTAAATCTATCACAGTGAGTGCCTGAGATTTTTTTATTTTATATTAGGGGACACTGAGACACTAGGAGACATGGGGACACTGGGAGGCATTAGGATACTGAGACACTGGGAGACTAGGGGACTTTGGGAGACTAGGAAACACTGAGACACTAGGGACACTGGCACACTACGGACATTGAGAGACACCAGGGACACTGGGAGACATTGGGATACTGAGATACTAGGGACATTGGCTGGTAGACATGGGAGTGCCCCATGTCTCCCTCTGTCTCTGTGTCCCCATGTCTCTCAGTGTCCCTTAGTGTCTCAGTGTCCCCATGTCGCCCAGTGTCCCCTAGTGTTTGTATCCCCATGTCTCCCAGTGTCCCTTAGAGTCTGTGTCACCTATGTCTCAAAGTGTTCTGATGTCACTCGGACACTAGGGGACACTTAGAGAAATTGGGACACTTAGAGATACCAGGGGACTCTGGGAGACTAGGGGCATAGACACTAGGGACACTGAGAGACACCAGGGACACTGAGAGACATGGGGACACTGAGACACTAGGGACACTGGCTGGGAGACATGGGGACACTGAGAGACTAGGGGCCACTGGGAGACATGGGGCCACTGTGTCCCTAATGTCTCAGGGTCCCCAAGTCACTCACCGTCCCCATGTCTCGTAGGCTCGGAGCTGCTGACTGGACTCTCTGTGCAGAGCTGCTCCCCCGCAGATCAGTGTGTAGAGAGAGGCAGGAAGGGAGATGCTGTAACTTCTTATCTCTGCCTCTCTCCACACAAACAGCGCTGGTATTGCAGTATAATCTCTGTTTATACTGAGAAAGACATTTGTATTGCCGGTATTACTGCAATACCGGCACCGGCTAGGCAGCCTCAAATACCTGGCAACCCTAAAAAATACAATGGGCCTATTCCATGGGCCTGGGCCTGGGCCTGGGCCTGGGCCTGGAGCTGCAGCTCCATCAGCCCCTATGATAATCCGGCCCTGGTCCCACTGCGTATGTAGGCTGGAGTCAATTGAATAAATTCATTACTAAAACACATTGCTTTCTCCATAGCCTTGAACATCTCTGCAATTTATGATATCTATGCTATTAAAATATCATACATATAGATCACTGTTCACCCACTGTGCCCCAATAAAACACTTAAAAAATAACAAAAATAAAGGGGTGAACATATAATGCCCCCTTCTGTTGCCAGCAGATGGGGATAATAATAAAAAAAATGGGGGGAACATCCTAATGTCACTTGATGCCTCCCCCCCATGGTCAGTGGGTAGTGGCTACTTGTTATAAAACAGGGAGGAACTAGTATCTCCTATAGCTCCCACCTATGCGTGACAGGTGGTAACTCTAATTATAATACAAGGGTAGATTTAGTGTGTCCCCCAGCCCCATCCATAGGCTCTAAATATAATACGGGGCGGTTAGTGTCCACCCAAGCCCCTAAACATGGACCAAAGTGTCTTACTTTATTTTAGTTTGTAGATTTATATAAAAGTGTTTGCTTGCTAGTTTCAAACAAACGTGGTCAAGAAATGCATGTCCCTTTAATTATATTAAAGGCCCCCACTTGATGCCCAAAGGTAGGGTCATGAACAGTCCCCCCACCATTCAACATGGGGATGGTGCCTTTCTAAAGACTGGACAGCAATGGCTGCCCAGTTGCTACTATTTAAGTTTAGTAGATATGCCTCCATCCCTACCTCTCTGCACATCTACTAATGAGTACAGTGCAAAAATCTCTTGTGTGAGTACTAATTAAGATATTTATTCAAGAAAATTACTAATAAATTACTAATTATTACTAATATTACTAATACATTTCAGCCTATTGGCCATGGTGATCTTACCTTATGGAACAATTAACAAAAATACATGCTAACCCGTGGTGGGACAAAGGGACCTGGTGCAAAAAAAAGATTTTTGGACCATCTACTGAGCAGGAATGGCCAAAAGGTAGATCCTAAACTGACGTACAACTCCCACACTGCTTTGTGAGTGGTGGATCTACTATTTGCCATCCTCGCAGGGTTGAATTTGAGTGCAGTGCCTGTGTGTGAATGAAGGTGTATTTTTTTCTGTTTGGAATATGTGTAAATGTTTTTGTATTTGTGTGTACTGCTGATGGTGGAAGGTAGATGTATATTTGTGTATAGTGTTATTTGAATGCAAGGGTGTGTTTATGGATAGTGTTAGTGTTTGAACGCAGGGGTGTATTTGTAGTGTTTGCACACAGGGGAGCCTTTGTGTGAAGTATTAGCATTTGATTGCAGGTCAGGTTTTTTGTACAGTATTGGAGTTTGAATGCAGTTATATGTTTGTTTACAGTGTTGGTTTTTGAATGCAGGATTGTTTATGTGTGTAATATTGTGTGTATTAACATATACACACAAATACATACACAAATGCACATTGCCAAGCACACACAGAAACACACAAGCACTGATACATAAAGGCACACACTTACACATATACACAGAAATGCACTCCAAGCGATAAACATAAGTAAAGATACATAGACAAACACACATTCAGAGCCACTAACACACACGCAGAGATACACACACTGACACACATAGATACACTAACCCTCTGTCTGAGTCTCCCTCCTGCAGTCCTGCTGTGCGCACTACAAATGTTTCCCCTCGATCCCAGTGTGTCTGGCCCCAAACTAGCCTCCTTGCAGCCCTGCCCCCTCTGTTTCATTGTAACACATACCGACAGTGCAAGCTTGGTCAAGAAGGACCCTGTAGTACCTGAGCTCTATATCTTGCACTGGATGATATCTTGCCTCTGAATTCTAAAAATAAGATCATGAGCAAAGTAATCACTCACTGTACCTTTACTGTGGTTTTACAGACTAGCTTTGATTTTGCATCAGAAAGGGCATGGCCACAGTCACGCAGGAGGTCAACATGAGCACATGGTGTCTGAAAATGAGCCTCAGACTAACGCAAGCATACGGGCAGCCTTTATCCATGTCATTGGGGATCTGTTCCAGAGCATCAGCGTGCTAACCAGTGCACTTATAATATATTTCAAGGTAACTCCTGACAATCCCTTATATCATATACTATCACCTACATTGGGATATACAACAACTCCAGAACATCTGATTTCTAAATAACTATTGGGTCCTTGCCAAACATGGAAAATGTTTCCCTCTGTGTTTGCTTTACATAAGCAAGTATTAAATTTATGGTGGTAATCTCTTAACCCCTTAAGGACCAAACTTCTGGAATAAAAGGGAATCATGACATGTCATACATGTCATGTGTCCTTAAGGGGTTAAACAGGTCCTCTAGAGCAGGGGTGGGGAGCCTTCGGCCCTCAAGATATTTTGGACTACATTTCCCTTGATGCTTTGCCAGCATGATGGCTGTAAGAGCATTATTGGAGATTCCCCACCCCTGCTCTAAAAGGACCACTTTGTAACATAGCTGATCAGATTATAATTATTATTTGCATTTATATAACCCTAGCATAATTCACAGCGCTTTAAATTTATAGACAAGAGGTAGTCAAGTCAATTAACTGACATTCATTAATTACAATAATTAGTGCACGATAACAAGACTAACACTTATTCTCTGACTTTTTCTCTGTATTATCTACATATTGAGAAATCTATGCTCTGAACTGGAATTGGAACTTTTAGGCCAAAATAACATAAGTGGACAAATGTTTTACTATTTTCCTAACCATTATTTTAGTCAAATATTTGCAATTCCTTAATGATTCCTACTATTTCTCAGTTTAATAACCTTATGTGATTAGAATTTCACATTTTATTTTTTCTTTCTTAGTACATGAATTTTCTCAAACTTTTCCCCCATTAAATAAACATTAGCTTATTAAGCCCTATAATACATAATTTCTCTTCTACCTTTAATGTAAATGTTGTTTTGTGACTTTTCCTGAGAACGTTTTCTAATCTTAAATATTGTTTTTTTTTTTATTCTTTCAGCCACAGTACAAGATAGCAGATTCAATCTGTACCTTCATATTTTCCATTTTTGTTCTGGCCACTACCTTCACAGTGTTGAGAGATGTTTTAATCGTCTTAATGGAAGGCGAGTATTATTAATACCATTGAACTGTTGGGTTTATAAAATTCTTTCATTGCTATAGTAACATGACAACAATCCGATGCTAAAACCAAACCAGGAACTGCACTCTTCCAAATCCATAAACTTAGGTGCAGCCAAACCAGAGGCCAGCACCAAGCCTCTGAATGTAATTAGTAGTCGAAAAAGGTCCAGGAAAGAAAATATAGGCAAATTTATTGGACTCAAGTGTCCAGCAACGTTTCGACCAGAACATTTTTTTTTCAACTTGAAGATGTTTTGTTTTTTTGGTCGAAACATTGCTGGACACTTGAGTCAAATAAATTTGCCTATTTATACTTTGGAGTGCCTGAAACATTTTTTTGACTATAAGCAATCTAGTGCTCTCTGTGCATTCCATGACCCACTGGATACTTAAAAAATTGGTTGTTAAATTATTTAATTGTGTTTTAATTTCTGTAATGTAATGGATGAATCAATGGTCTGTCCAACCACCTTGATTGCTATCGAGTGGACTATCTATTTTAAAGGAAAAATCTGTACAACTATTATTCTAAAAAGGCTATTTGCATGTAAAGTCACCTACTGCAGCCAGTTCTCACTAAATACAAAATGACCTCTTCCTGCCACATAGCACATAAACATGTATTCAATGGACACTCCATGCACCAATAAAACTTTAATTGATTTTTGGCCTCATTAATATTCTGTATTTTTGCATGCTCAAATCTTTATAGTTTTTGCATAATTGTTTTTTTTTTGCAGAATGCTGAACTATAAGACTGCCTATTAAGCCACACCCTCTTACTCCAGAAAAATACTTCCTTATCAAATGTATGCACTGGTGTCCGGAATGTCCTTTTAACCCCACAAGGGTATAAGTCAAAGCATATATTAATTTGTACTGTTAGACCATCATATGCAACCTGGGTGAACCAAGTTGCAACTCACTTCACTGAAAAGATTTCTAAAATCAAAAAAGATATCTCTAACCTCTCTCCCTCCAATGCATCTGCCAATACATCACCCAACCACACTCACTCCACTGTTCTATGCTCATTCACACCTACTACAACGGAAGAGGTTTCTGCTCTGCTCCAGTCCTCCCGCCCCACCACCTGTTCCCTCGATCCTATTCCCTCATATCTCCTCTGCACTGTCTCCCTCTCTTGCTCTTCCTCTCACTAAAATCTTCAATCTTTCCCTTTCCCCCGGCACATTTCCTTCACCCTTCAAGCATGCAACCATAATGCAGATTCTGAAAAAGCCCAACCTTGACCCCAACTCCCCATCCAACTAGCGCCCTATATAGCTACTGCCGTTTTCCTCCAAGATTCCTAAGAGTTGTGTATGCAAAATTGACAGACTTCCTCAAATCCATCTCTCTGCTTGACCTGCTTCAGTCTGGATTCCACGCTCGTCACTCTTTTGAAACAGCTGTGACCAAAGTATCCAACGATTTAATTGCTGCAAAATCTCACGGCCATTACTCTATCCTAATTCTCCTTGATCTTTCTGCTGCCTTTGACACTGTTGATCATCAACCGCTTCGTCTCATTCTCCATAATCTCGGTCTATGGGATACTGCTCTCTCCTGGTGCTCCTCCTACCTCTCCTACTCTCACCCCTTCGCTCTGCCGAAGACCTACGTCTATCCCATGTCCGTACTCCCACATGCTCGCCTCCAAGACTTCTCCAGAGCTGTACCAAAGATATCAGACAAAGTATCAAAAACACAATAAATAAATGTAAATCAGCCTTTTTAATTTTTTTGTTTTATTGCAGCTGTCCTTGTAACATGTTTCTTTTTGTAGAACGCACAAAAAATTCTCAACTATTCAAAAGCTCTAAATTATTATGAGATCTAACCTGCGGGTGTCAAATATAAAAAAATGAGACGGCCGAATAGACATTCATTTTTTTTCATTGTAGGACTTTCCCTTTGTCAGTAGGCAGATAATAAAACCAAGGTACAGATATATAGAAGAGGCTTTAGTGCCGTAAAATATTCAATTAGCAAAAAACACAACTGATGAACATGTTAAAACACACTGCAGTTACAATGTAGCTTCTGCAACTCAATCTGAGTTTTCATGAAATGTTTTGTGAACATTAAATTATTGCCGAGGGCAGAGTATGACTTCTCATTTTTTTCTTTCCGTTGCTACTTAAATTAAATGCCTATTTAAAGCATATCATTATTTTTTGCAGGTACTCCACGAGGTATTAATTATAGCGCTGTGAAACAGAACATTTTAGCAGTAGACGGAGTTAAATCAGTCCATAGCCTTCACCTTTGGGCTTTGACAATGAACCAAATCATCCTTTCAGTTCATGTTGCTACAGGTCAGTAAACGTATGTGTGCGTACAGAACAAAAGTTCAATTGTTGAAGACTAAAGACGGGTATATATTCTTTCAAATGAAAGCGTACCTGTCATTCCATCACACACCGGCCTACAGCAAAATATGCTTCTGTGGTGTGACCAGCTGCTTAACTCAGAGATTTTGCTATCAGAAAATACAATGACCAAGGCTTTGAATGACCCATTTGTCACTGCAAGAAATATATTGCAGGCAAGTTATCACTCATAGACACTGCATATAAGTGGCTTTCTGGAGTCTGAAAAGGCAACCCTTCTAGCTTTAACAATGCACAGTGTGACAATGGTGAAAGAAAGTATATTAAGCACACTGAAAAGGAACTGTAAAGTCCAACTACGTTCTAGGATACAGTGATATTACCGAAAGCTCTATCCTTTCAGGACTGCAACTGTAACATATATAATTGGTGACCGGTAAAATATGTGACGCCAGTACTTACAAATTGACAGTGATACTAATATATCTAAAACAAAGTATCTCATCTTCTAAAAATACTTAAATATTCTGTATGTGAAATAATATATCACCAGTGATTATATTTTTCTTAATAGGATATTTATTTACCACTAATTTTCATTTCGTAGAAATAAATTTTAAAATACGTATTTGTAGGCGTCATGCTATTTGGTACATAGTAGTGCAATCTGAAGAAATGCGTACAGTTCCTTTTTGTTATATTTAATGAATAACCTTGACATTCCTAATGAAATTAATAAGATAATGCAATCTAAACAAACACATTATATATTATATTTTCTAAGGACAACACATAAAAATTATTTTAAACTTATACAAAAAATACAAAAACACTAAACTAAGTACCGACTATTGTTAAATACCAAGGTAAACCATAAATATCATGAATCTGAATATTGTGCATTAATATATATATTACCGATTATTATTTAAGGGGAAACTATAGTCCCAAAAATAACAATTGTTTTTCAGGACTATAGGTTTCCTACTGTTCACCATCATTTGTCCATCACCCTTTGTTTTTGTTTGTTTTTGTTTTTAAAAAAAAGAAAGATTAAAAAAACAACTTATCTCGTTTCCTACGGTAGGATTTATCTGTTGCAGCCACCCGCAATGGTTTGGAAATAAATTGACCAGGCGATTGCCGCACTCCTCCAATCAAATGCTGCTATCAGCAGCATGTGATTCCTGGACCGAGTTTTATTTAAATCTGGAAGACAGCCTCTAGTGCCTGTCAGAAATACTGATGCTAGCGGTATATTTAATCCTGCAATATAAATACTTCAGTTTTCACAAAAATGCAATGTTTTAAATTGCAAGGGTAAAATGACAGGACCATTACACCCAGATCACTTAATTGAGATGAAGTGGTCTGGGTAACTTTATCGGTCCTTTAAATACAAGAATTTGGTTGTCAGTGTTATTATATTCATATGTTCAAAACCAACTGCAAAACCAACTATGAAAAACATCAATTAACAATTGTTTCTTTATCCTTAAACTATTAAAATACATGTCCTAGAGCAGAGGTGCCCAATAGGTAGATCTCCAGATGTTGTAGAACTACAGCTACCATGATGCTTTGCAGTGAGTATGGTGTCTGGAGTGCCTTGGTGCTGTGCTACTGCTAAAAGTCAAATAGTTTTCTAATGGTTTGAATCTTACATAAGTCTCCTGGGTACCTGAAATTCTGTTGCTTTTCATTAAATTGCTAAAGTGTTCCACTTCCTTAAGAAATAGCAGTTTTGTTAGGATGGAGTTCCTTGGCTGGGAACATCAGCAGATGCTGTCAACAAACGAATTCCATCCAAAGATGGACGTAATCAATGTGGATAGTGTCTGGTTTATTCATATGCCAGTCTCTGAATTTGGTAATCTCTGTATTGTGAACCATTGATGGTCTTTGTGGACTGAAGTGAGAGACAGATTTCACACCTAAGGGAAAAGTGGCTCATCGAGATCCTTCCAGGTTCAAATGTGAAATTTATCAGAGATAAAGCAACAAATCACTTGCACAGTTACATTTATTAATTTCTCATTAATGTTTGAAATATTGCTTCCACACTGCTATTTATTTTAACGAAAAAGGAAGAGACTAAGAACCTTGCTCCCCTGAGACCCATTGCTTTTTAATATTTTATTGTACTACTAAAACTAAGAGACTGATATCTTGGTTTGTTTGATTCTCCTGGTGGCTTACAAAAAAAGTATTTTGGAACATTAGAACATTAAATATAATAAGAGAGAGAGAGAGAGAGAGAGAGAGAGAGAGAGAGAGAGAGAGAGAGAGAGAGAGTGTATGTTTTGTTGTTTCAACCTGCATTGATTTTTATTTTTAATCATTTTCAGAAAATCTAAATGATTCCAAAAGAATTCTGAAGGAAGTTACCCAGAGTGTTTTTGACAGCTTTCCCTTTCACTCCGTTACCATTCAGATCGAATCTGTAGATGAGCAGGTCCCTGATTGTATGTTCTGCTATGAGCCAACAGGATGAATCCATTTCTTTTTAGGAAACCTCAGACTACACAAGCTAATGACTGTGCTTCTTTTAATGTAAAATGTGTCAACATTGGGAATTGCGTGTGTGATATGATGGGTCATTGAAATTTTAATATTAGCCCACCTGTTCTCCGTTTCTTTTTTAAACTTTGGCAGAAAAACATCCACCTAAAGAAGGTTTAATTGTAGTTCTTATTCTAGAATCACCGGTGGGTTCACAGCTATGTGCTGTCCAGTTAAGACATTTTTTACAAGCAATCAAGCAGGATCGTATTTCCATGTTCTGAGGTTGGTAGTAAGGCAGTTATACCTGTAGCAGAACTTGATGTTAAGCAGTCGATAATTGTCACAAGTATGCTCTGATTATAGAGATGATTTGAAGTCCTGCTCCCAATTTCTATGCCAAGTAAGACTTATAACACATTTTTGTTGAAGATCTGTCAATGAAGGTTTAGTTGAAATGCCATTAGACTAATCGGTTCTAGACTGATGTTTTTATATTCCACAATTATATTGAAACATATGTACTGCACTGGATTTAACTAGAATAATATCTACCTCTTACTTCACCCACCATTCCACCCATATTCTTATCTTCTTTCCTCCTACCACTTGTTTAACTAATCATTCTTCCTTCTACTCGCCAGGTTTCACATCTTGACTCACACTAAGCTTTCTCTAATCTTTTTTCCCTACGTCAACGATCACATTTATTTTCTTTCTTAACTCTGTGTCTAAATACAACCCACAACACTCATTGAAAATCAGATAACTTGTTTTAATATCACTTGTAAAAAAATAAAATAATAATAATACAATGAATTTACTACCAAAGTGTTCATGTTTAAATCACCTTTCCCATGATAGAAAAAAATAGTTTACTGGAAACTGTAAGGTTTAAACCAGGCCTGTCCAACCTGCGGCCCCCCAGATGTTGCTGAACTACAACTTCCATGATTCTTTCAATTAAACAGATAGCCAGGGAATCATGGGAGTTGTAGTATAGCAACATCTGGGGGGCCGCAGGTTGGACAGCCCTGGTTTAAACATTGATTCCGCTTATCCACCAAATGCATCTAAAGTTGATTTTTTTTGTGTGTGTATTTAAGATTTGTTGAGATCTTGTTTGTTTGACTTTGAATTCTAATTTTCTTAATTTCCCCTACTCAACCTGTCAATATTACTCTTTAAAACAAGTAATTGCATCTTCCAATGTACTGTGTTCTTCTAAACAAGTATACGAGAAAGGCATTTGCACTTTGCATAGATATGTTTAGTAAATATCAAATGGAACTTTTCTATGTCTGATTTATAGTGTATTCATTCCAGTAAACACAATTTTAGACCTGCTTTTGTCATATTGTAGCAGACATGTACATAAAACTATCTTATCTCTGCAGACGTAACTGCTAAATGGGTGCAGCCACTATATTCAGTGCAAGCACGCATTCTTGACACTATAGGGTTTAACTATAACTAACTATTTAGGTTCTGAGCCCTTCCTAGTTCGCTTAGGATATGTGTTTTTACTAACCTTTTCTCCATCGCCACACTGTTCTTACAGCTGCTGGCCCAGCCTCCATGACTGTGATTATCAATCTTGATAAGCTCAACCTATCTAATCCTTTCCCATAGCAAAACAATTGGAAGTTTATGGCACATGCGCAGAAAAATGCCGCCTGCGCCAGTCAGCATCTCCTTATAGAGATGCATTGAATCAGCGCATCTCTATGGGGATCTTTCAGCTTCTCAATTCAGAGCACGGAGACACTGAGCTGCACACTGTGCAGAACTGGGCTAGGAGGCACCTCTACTGGCCTTCTGAGTGACTGCCACTAGAGGCGTTTTCTCTCAAAAGTACATGCTATAGTGGTCAGAACCCCTTCATAAAGCTGTAGTGGTTCTGGTGACTATAGAGTCCCGTTAATGAATTTGCAGAATGTTCCTGCTAGAAATGTAATTCTATTTACCTTTTTCTTGATTTGTCTTCCTTCTACTAAGGTAGGTAAGTCCACACTACACCCATTAGGCCAAATGAATTCATCTTTGTAGATTTGAGAGTTTACCATGATAAGTCCACATTCAAAGACATATTTCAGGCCTTTGAATGAATTGTTTGGAGAGTTTACATTGGAGATGATATTGCTAAAATAGGACATGAAAATGGATTTGCTTGCATTAAATATTTATATACCACTGCTGTCACAAATGTGAAAGTTCACTATTACTCTATAATGAAATAATTCAGAATATTTCAAGGTATTCATGCAAATACACTGTCAAAATGGAAAGTGTGACTTATACCTTTGTCAAGCATATTATTTTTTATCAAGCAAATGTTTGCTTTCCTTAGCTATTATATAAATAAGTTAATCCACATTTCAATCATTATTATTATGATGTATAATAATAATATCAATGTTTCAAGAGAGGAAGCATACATTTTAAATTTCAGTATTTTCCAAGTGCGTCATAGGGTGTCAGTGTTATTTTTACCAAAGTATAAGATACTCATTTTATCAGCCTTGGCAAGGTTTGGTTGACCCAGCCAAGAATCAAACTCAAAGATTAACCAGCTCTAAGGTTGGTTAATGTTCTAGAGATATGGAAGTTGGGGCACAAACCAATGAGGTAGCACTGTTAACATACAATTAAAATTCCCACAGTTTTTGCTGCTGTACTCTTAAAGGACCACTCTAGGCACCCAGACCACTTCAGCTTAATGAAGTGGTCTGGGTGCCAGGTCCTTCTAGGGTTAACCCATTTTTTTATAAACATAGCAGTTTCAGAGAAACTGCTATGTTTATGAATGGGTTAAGCCTTCCCCAAAGCCTCTAGCGGCTGTCTCATTGACAGCCACTAGGCGCTTGCGTGCTTCTCACTGTGATTTTCACAGTGAGAAAGCACGCATCTATAGGAAAGCATTGCTTTCGCTGAATGCGCAGCAGCTTGCCGCTACAAGTAAGATTCGGGGCGGGCAGATCGGAGAGGATCGGAGGAGGAGAGCTCTCCGCCCAGCGCTGGAAAAAGGTAAGTTATTACCCCTTTCCCCCTTCCAGAGCCGGGCGGGAGGGGGTCCCTGAGGGTGGGGGCACCCTCAGGGCACTATAGTGCCAGGAAAACGAGCATGTTTTCCTGGCACTATAGTGGTCCTTTAAGGTGTAGCAAACTAAATATCGCTCACATACACAAATATATCAGATAAAGAGAGTGCTGCACGCACACTGTTCAGAGGTTTAAAAATGGAAAAAGATAAATGTTCTAATACATTTTTTTTTGTTATTTTTTTCTATTTCTTTCTTCTAATATACAAAATAAAGAAAACTATTTTTGTTAAAAAATAGAGTGGTCCTTTAAGAGTACAGCAGCAAAAACTGTGGGAATTTTAGGTAGTGGTTATTTCTTTGGAAATTTCTGAGTTCCTGCAGTATATTGTAGTTTCTGGATCTCGTAGGTAGCACTGCTTAAAAAATATCATACTTAGCATCACTATGTAGCTTGATTCTACATCACAGCAGATTTGTCTCTGTTTATCTCTTTGCTGGTGTATAGCCCCGCCAGCGCTCAATAATTTGACATGTATTCACAAGTTTTTTTGGAAAATACACATCTGGCAAAACTAGTTATCAAGTGCAGCTAAAAGCAATATTTTAGAGCTGTAAACAGACTGTGTGCAGAGCATATATTCTTTCTGATGTTTAGCACAATAATCTAAGATATTTAGAAATAATTCTCACCATGTCAAAATTACAATTCAAATGCTCCAAGCAGACACTGTACGGCGAGACACAAATTGTTGTTATCACGGATACGTAGGACAACTGATCAAAAGAACAGTGACCAAGCGCCATGTTTATGGGGTCATTTTGGCAGTCTAAGTGTTTGAAGTGGATACGATATTACAAGTTATAAACTGCCATAATATCTGAAATGTATCACAGTGTACCTAGAGGACTGTGATAAACCACTACGCTCTCTGTGCCTGGCCGACAGAGTAAAAGCTGAAAGTGGATATCTACCAGCTAGTCATAATCTGTCCAAAAATCCCTAAATGCTAAATATCAAAACAGCAAAATAAGGCTCGATGCCACTAGTCATATCCACACAACAGGCTCCAAAACTCTTCTTTTGTTCAACAATAGGATACAATAGATTAAAGGATTACAAGTGGCTACAGTTTCTATTCTGTGAATCTGAACACGTGATGGAAGCCTGAAGCCAAATATCCAGCAGCGTGCCAACCTGAAATTGTAAGTCTCTCTCTGCAGACTGTTTGTCTAAAATGTCACAGTTTCGCTGTGCCTGGTCAGCGAACTAGAATCCATTAATCATAATTGGACAAAAAGAAATAAATAAAAGGAAATAAATGGTCTTTACTCTCCATGGAATTTAGTCGCTAGGCAATGAATTGTACCATTTTAACTAAAGTATCCAACCTGTGATTATAGCAGAGTTTTAGAATTTTTTAAATGATCTATTTTGGAATATTTGGCAATTGGGGTTTTTAACTCACTGCACTTTACTACTTATAGAATAGAATTCCTTATAAACGCATACCTTTCACTAGTATGTATTCAGTAGTCCCTATTGCATTAAATTTCTGTTTTATATAAATCCTTTAGCCTTATTTGTTCATTATCACTAGATGTTTTCCCCTAATTCACAGTTTGCCTACATATATTATTAATAGAACACTATAGTGTTAGTAACACAAATGTATTCTTACTGCTGTAGTGCCCTAGTCATCATTTAAGTAACCAGGCCAGTGCTGCCAGGGTTAAAAATGTGATTTTACAAACCTATTCTACCTCGCTGCGCCAGTCTCCTTGCGGAAGCTCTTCCTCTTTGGCTGAGATCATCAAGATCATTGAGCTCAGCCAATCCAATGCTTTCCCATAGGAATGCCTTGGGAGGCTGGTGTGCATGCGTGGCAAAAGACTGCGCTGTACCAATTAGATGATCTCTTTGAGAGTATCTTATTAAAATAGAGTTTTCATGCAGAACGGAAATGTTTTCAGCTGCAGGGTTGACTCGGGGAGCCCCTGGTTGCCGTAATGTAACCGCGCAACACAGAAACCTATAGTGCAACCCACAAACATCTGGATAGTAAGCAATTCTGTGTTCTCCAGAGCTTTGGGTTGGATGTAAAGCAAAACCAAAGCAACAACAGTCACTGCTTTATTTAGGAAATACATTACTTGTGTACTAGAATTGCTCTGAGAATAGTAAGTCAGGGTGGTACAATCCCCATCATGGGTGATTGAAACATGCCAGCCACATTCTATTGTTATGTCTGTGACTTATAAGATGCTTTAGATAACAAATAAAAAACATGCACGTCAAAATACCCAGTAGGTAGAGGGCATTATTAATGGAAATGCAATTCCATGGTAAGTAAAGTGCAAAAATCAATTTTTACTAAAAATAAATACATTTTATAAAATCAGTAAAATTATTAAATAGGGACATTAATGCATTTTGTCTTATGTAGAGATTTTATCAAATTGGGTGAAAAGTTTTAGTGTTGCTGTAAAGCCAATTTTACTGGTTTTATGTTTTATGAAATTGAGATTTTAGGGATCGGTGCAAAGACCAATGCAGGTTTGCTCTAAAACTTTTCCCTTCCTTGTAGTTTACAAATAAATAAATTAAAGGAGCCCTAAGGCATTAGGAATACAAGTCACTAATCGTATTGTTTTAGGGGCCCTCTCCCTTGTTAGATATGTCCTCCCCACCATGTGTCACATAAAAGTAATACAATTAGAGTTTTTACTTACCTTGCTCCAGCATTGAAGCACCGTCGGCACTTCTCACCTCTCCTCCTATCGCAACATCACGGAGGAGGCATATCCTCCTCTGGTGTGGTCCAATCCATAGAGGAGCATTGGGGAACTACCGCGCATGCACTGTGAATGACACCTGCGCATTCAAGCTTTCTCATATGAAAGCATTGAATCAACGCTTTCTAATGTGGGCTTCCCCATCAGTTGACTGAGTTTTACCTTATCAGTGCCACCGAAGAACCTCCTGTTGCTGTCAGTGTATAACAGCCACCTGAGGTGTATTTACCCATTCAAGGTAAACATTGCATAATGCATTATTTTACATTGAAGGGTTAAAATGACAGGACAACTGGACACAGGCTGTTTCATGGAGATCAGCTGGTCTGGGTGACTTTAGTGGCCCTTTAACTGTACATAATGTATACAGGTATGATTCTCAAATACAGATATTTTTACACATTGTTGCAATTTTTTAGAAGCTGTATTACTATTATAGGAAATAAACATGTGTAGATGATAAATTAAATTAAATGTTGCTATCAGGCAGTAAATTATGAGCTAAGGGGTTGCCGATAGTATAGCAACAGCTGTCTGTACTAGATAATATTATATTGACTACAGCGGAACAAAAATGTGTAGTTCAGCTATGAAGGACTGCTGACAGGCAGCAGTTAACCCATTGATAGTCACAATCGTTGCCTAAATGATAGCTGCATTAAGATGATAAATCCAATTGTAAAGAAAAAAAAGGAGATTTATAGGCCGTTTACAAACAGGCTGCCTGAGTGATAGAAAAAATATAATAATATAGTAGGTGACAGAGGAAGGCGTATAGAATAAAATTCCTGAGTCTTGTGCCTTCAAGGGCACCCCTTAATCAAATGCTTGGTCTATTCAATTTCCACCCCATAAAGTGTAAAAAAGAAAAAGAAAGAGAAATAAAGTATATAGTATAAAGTATATATAGTCTCCAATACACACTCCTGAAATACTGGACTTAAATGCACTTGATGTCGGTATTATCGCAATTGATAAGTGAAAAGTTAGACACCAATAATGTGTCAGTATGTGTCCAGAACCCCTGACGCGCGCATTTTGCCAGTGAGGTTCATGAGAGGGGAACCAGATACAGGTAAGTATACAAGGATTTAAATCATAAGCTCTTATTTGATTGGAAGCTTTTCAGGATTCTGACCAATGGTAGCTTGGGGAGGGAATCTCAACCCTTACCCAAAAATTGGTCAATTAACCCTATGTTTACCTGAATTTTCTGGTTTATCGCTGAATAAAAGTAATAAATAAATAAATAAATATAGAAGTAACAATTATTATAAGATGACAATAAAGTCATTATTATAACTCATATGTAAATAACAACGGTAACATAATTAGTGGAACGAATGTAGCAACATTAATCTGCTACACAAATTAATGATTAGTACAGATATATTAATGGCTTCCAAAACTTATACATTAACTCTTATCAACATTAAAGTGTAACATTAATGAAAGTTTTTATAATAATGACTAATTATACACTTATTTGTGAATGAAGGGGGTAAAGTTGAACTCTTCATTTAGTCCCAAAGGAGATAAAGCCTTACATTCATGTATCCATCTAGATTCTTTTCTTAACAGGGTAAGATTAAAACTACCCTTTCTAGTATTCAGATGGATACGTTCTAAAGCCTGAAACATAAAATGAGAAGCATCCAAGTTATGGAAATTCCTTATGTGGTTAGAGACAGGAGTGGAAATGTTTAAGTTAGAGACTGAATTCACATGTTGTAGGATTCTCCTTCTCAGTTCTTGGAAGGTTTTTCCTATATATTGTAGTTTACAACTACAAGTGATGATGCAAACTACTTTTGTAGTACTGCAATTGACAAAATCATTAATCAGAT